AAAGGGTTGATGTAGAGGAGTGCATCGGTGACGAAGGAAGCGAGAAAATCCATCTACTTCGAGGCTTTTTAAAAGTGGTGGAAGTGGAGGTTGTACGGGATCACCGTGGCGAAAATGGCACCTAAGGGTATTTGGACAAGATTTAACTTGCTCTTATTGCGCGAAGAGTTGACTATAACAAGCCGAAATTGCTCCGATCTGCCTGTCACTGTCGCCATTGGTCATAAAAAGTTGTTAGAACTTCCTACATGGGAGTCCCTCGAGATAGTGCACACTCTACAAAGCTTTGAAATTTGTCCACTATGGGCGTAGCATTCACACGATACAATGTCTAACTGCTTATTGTGCCCTATCCAGGACGTTTTCCGACCATATGACGGCAGGTGCGGTTCAAGGGGGAGCCTCGAATTCATGCTATAGAGAAATCTCAGAAACCATTCTTATCGTGAAGTGTGCCTTTAAAAATTATTTGCTTCGCTGCTTATCCTATAAACACCAAATTTAAGGGTGATCCATAAACACTTATGAAACGCACTGTATAATAAATTTGAACGCTTCAGGGCCAAGGTAACAGGAGTTATGAATTCCCCGTCAAACGCTCACCGACAAACCAAGACGCTGTTAGCGTGTTATATGTACAAGGATAAACTTCGTCTCTTCCCCTTACCTTTTGCGGAGACTTCAGAAAAGAAACACATTGCTAATGTAATGTTTGAGGCAAAACCCCGTTTGCTCGAGGATAGTAGTTTTACTTGGAATTACTAGTCCACGAAGGGTACGACTTATCCATCTTCTATGAAAAAAACAACTCTCAAGCAACAATCTCACCGGCTTTTTTCTCAGAACGACTTCTCTGCCTCCGATATTGATATAATAAGTTGGATTCGATTGACCATGCCCAAAACGTCGAACGTGGAACGGCTCACTCTCCGTTACTTTCATTTGTTGTACTAAGAAACTCCGCAGCTGTTCCTCAGGTAGATTCTCCCCTAAATAACTGCAATGGTCTGTTTTCTTTTGTCGATACGTATTGAAATCTAAACTATACATCCATAAAATATAACTTTTTGGTCATATCTTCAACATTGCTTCTAGATTAATGTTATAAGGGGTTCGTGGCGGTACATACTATGAACGATAATGTGAATGAGCTCCACTTCACTAAACCTGCGGGTAATATGGTTGCATTGAGTAGGACCGCTCAGGAGAGGTTGTTATAAACTCAGAGACATAATAGGCGGCCCAAAAGGAGAAGGACTAAGGTGGCAGCCTGCAATTTTACACGGACACAGAAGCTACGGAAGCTTTGTCGAAGATATGATGTTGCGAGCTAAGAAGATTAAGTACTGCGTCATAGGACTGACCGAGACGAGAAGGCATCGCCTGCGCGCTATGTTCGAGACTGGAGGAGAGTTGTTCCTAGGAACATGAGACAGCAGAGGTGTCGGCGGAGTACGTGTCCTCGCCAATACGCGCTTGACCACGAACATCGATTTCTACGAAAGCGTGACAAGCGGATTCTATCGATGCGATTGAGAAGATGTGGTTTGAGCTTAGCTCTAACAATCTTCTATGCCTAAGCACCACACCAGGTACGAAGAAGAGGAGCTGGAGCCGTTTCATATGGATTTGGAGAGGCTCTACAGAGGACACAACACCTTCTTCAGTGTCATCGTCGCTAATTTCAACCCCAAGATTGGACCCAAAAAAAGGCTGATGAGCTCCCCATCGGGACTCACGGAATGGAAAGGAATGTGCAGAGTGAAAGGCTGTCCGAGTTTATCATGTCGACCCACACTATCCATGGCATCTCGAAGTTCCAGAAGCCCTCTCATTTGTGGAGCGCAGTCACCTAGTGGACAGTTCAATACTGAAATAGATTACATCATCGTCAATGGAAGATTTCGCCTGACTGAAGTCGCTGCTGTTCCGAGTGCAGATAGAAAGCTATGAAGTTTAGGTAACGAAGCCCCAAGACCTCCATCAACTGGGACCACATCGCTTCCCTTGCAAGTAATGAGAAGGTTCCGTTAACGACGACATCGATGTAAGTACGACCGGCTCGTCAAACATCTTTTCACGATAAAGCTAGGGAAGCAGAGAATTTACAAGTATCCAAAAGACGACTCTTCAAACACTCTAGAGCTGCTATGTCAGCGTGGGATCGCGCGAGCTGCAGGCAATGACAAACTTGCAAAGCTGTGCAGAGAAGCGGTGAAGGAAGGTCTGAAAGAGTGAAGAGCAGCGAGCGAAACATTTTGAAGTACCGTAGCAGAACTCGCCGGAGCCAGATACAAGATCGAGATGAATTCCCTGACAAAACGAGAATATTATCTGTGACTTCTATTCAGATCTCTTCAATATTTTAGGCAGGATAGATATGTTCTTATGTCCCCCTCCGGAATTCGACATGCCATCACGTCGATGAACTGTACGGCGCTGGTCCCGATAGGAATAAACCAGGAAATCT